TTTCACTCATGACATCATTGAGGTGCTCAAGCTCCAGCGCCCCGACAAGGCGGTGATCCTTTGCTGGAGGAGAATGCCCATACAGCCTGGAAAACTTGGCCACACAGCTTGGAAATGGCCTAGCAATTCTGGCCATGAAAGCCTTCGACAACACAAATTACAGTAGTTTTCAATATGATTAATTGAATATGCAGAGAAGTTTGTTATTTTGGCATCAGGCTGTAGAATGAAAGTTGACAAGCATGTTTAATACATGCAGTACTCAAAATTGGTTTAAAAGATGTACTCTCTATTTTTTCTTCCTTTGCAGCTTGCAATGGATTTTGGATAAACAAGATCTGTTGAAGGAACGCCAAAAGGACTTAAAATTTTTGACAGAAGAAGAATATTGGAAGCTACAGATATTCTTTACGAATGGTAACATGATTTCAGTTCTAGTTTGCCCCACTGATGTGTGTTGTAGTTGGATTGCTTTGTGCTAACTTCACAAAACATGCAAAATTATAAAGCAAGAAGATTTATCTGTTATGTACCTAGCGAAAAGAAACTTGGACATGCTTGCAGCAGAAGCTTAAGCATTCAGCTTAAATCTAGCACTGTTCAACATAGATTATTTTATTTTCCTACTTAGGTGATGAAACTATCATCACCCCCTTTAGCCCCTCCATTTGTACTGGAGGTCCCCCAGTTTTTAAAAGTAGATTGCAAGAGAATATTATGAAAGGTAGAGGGAGCAGAAATTACACTCCACACTGTTTCATGGATATGAACAATCAGTGTAATTAGAAATACTTCATTAGAAAATGTCTTTCTGCTTTAAAATAGTACTGTAGCATCTTGGGGCCATGTTACATATTGACTTCCAAGACTTTATAAAGGCAATGACACACTATTTGGTTTATATGTAATGTGGATCCTGAAAACACTGGGCCTTCAGGAAAGTTGAAATAGACTAATCTCACTTTAATAGTTTGTTGTTTTCGGGTCCCAGTGCGGATGTGGAAACTTGAAGTGTAAAATTCAAAATACACTTTTTTTTCTTGAAACTAAACTTGGCTCCTTCATGAACTCTACTCTGCGTGGAGAGCACTGATGATAAACTGAAGCATTTAGGCCAGAAAATGGCTTTGATTGTGTGTCTGGGTATTTCACTGTGCCTGTTATCAGAAATTTGGTGCGAAAGTGTCTATAGCCATATACTCAGGAGTAGTGGTCAAATGTGATAGCCTTCAAATAGAAGCACATTTTTGAGGGCTAGGACCTCAATTTCTGCAGCCCTGGTAGTATTTGCACTGTGACTTTCTGGTTGTTTGCCTGTATGTTTTAACACTATAACTGTTCAGTACAGACCCGTAGCCAGGATTTCAATTCGGGGGGGGGGGGGGGGGGGGGGGGGGCTGAGTCTGAGTGAAAGAGGGTCTACCCTAGCAAACCTTTTGTATCGTTACCCCAATACCCCCATGCATATGGGATATATTGAGTATGGTGATCAGATCATGATATGAATAAACATAACAGTTTAAATAATGCACCAGTAAGGCCTTTTCGCGAACCACCATGAGAATTTCTGGGGGAGGGGAGGGGGGGGGGGGCTGAACCCCGGCTACATGCCTGGTTCGGTATAAGCTTGGATAGAAACTTGTCCTTAATGGAGAATGTTCAGCTGATAGCTTAATCCATGATCTGCTGAGCAAATAATTACACAAAGCAGGATTCAGGATATAGTGATAGTAATGCAACATGACATCAGGGTGATCTGTTGTAATGGTTGTTTCTTTAGACAGCCCTTCTGCATGTACGTTTTGTTTGGCTGTGTTCCTTTTAAAATGTGTGCATAAATGTGTGGACTGAAATAGAACTTGCAGGGCTCTTTGAAAATGGCATGATAATGATAACAGCATTGCCATGTTTGGATTATGTATGGATGAGGAGATCCAGGAAGAATACCAAGTAAATCACCTTATGTTTCATTCCATCATTCTCGCCTTCCACCTCTGCTTGGTATCCCTGATGGATGCTCCTGACATTCTTGGCAGATCTCCTTTGCCTGGAAGGCCAAACAAGAGCTACCTGTGCAGCTGACACCAGGGTTGCTTCTTGGCCAACTGGCAGGCAGAGCTAGTGATGGAGCAGCTGACTACCTCTTCTGGTCTCTCAACACCCCACTCCCTTTCCCTAGACTAAATATGCCATGCTCCAAACACCTGCTGCCTCTGAAACCCAGCAACTATGTTGATCCTGGGATCTTGATTCATTAGACAGACAACAGCCATTTGCAAGGCATTCAAACACTGCAGCCCATAATGATGATTCAAAATGCACACAATAAACTGGTAATATTCTCCTATTAGAACTGTAGGGCAAGTGAGTTGAGAAATGTAGTAAGTTGTACATGATAGAGCAAACTGTTGCCTTCACCATGTTGAGATGCTACCTACGCATGTACCATATGCCTCTTCTGTCCTTCATGGAGGTGTGACTAATTTGATGTGACTAATTTGATAGAACTACATTTAAAAGCTGGAAATAAGTGCCATCTGCCAGAATATGAACTAGTTTGACTTCGTGAATAGTATACGGCACTTGGACCAGGGTTCACCTTCAGTCCACCGGGTAGCCATGGGGAAATCATTGGTCTAGTTTGATTGTGCATTTTTAAGCACAGGAAAGCCATGGCCAAGAACATGCTTGGCAACCAGAGGTTCCTCTTTCCATTGTGTACCAATCACAGCAAGCTGTTCCCAGTTATGTCTGAAACAGACAACTGTGGTTTAATGTTAGTATACTAATCAGGATCTAAAACTACGCTTTGTACTTTTTGAAAAAATCCTGAAATGATATGTTTAAATTGGACCATTGTGGTTTCTATTTTTGTTATTTGTTATTATGTGTCTTCCAGTCATCTCTTTCTTAAAATGAAGGGCCAAATCAGCCCCATGGTTGCTTTTAAAGAGCCATTGAATCAATGGGCAGATAATCCATGAAGGCAAATGAGCATGTGCATTAACAAAGGGATCTGTAAATATATAAGGAAGTTCAAGTGAAAAATACATTTTTGTCAGTCAGCTTGTAAGACCTCAGAAATGTTGGAAAAATAATAGCTTCATAGCCTTGTGGGATATACTGTCAGTGCTTCTGACAAAATGCAAGCTCCCATTTTGAAACTTTAACTCAGTTTTCTTTTTGTTTGTAAGTCATCCAGGCTTTAGGTGAACATCTGAAATTAAGACAACAAGTTATTGCCACTGCTACTGTCTATTTCAAGAGGTTCTATGCCAGGTAGGATCATGCACTCTGTTAGCAGAACAGTGCTTTCTTTTCTTGCACATTGTTATACCATTTAAAAGTTAAAAATTGATTTTATTCTAATGATATACGTAAATCCTATAGATTGATAATAGCTCTTCTGAAAAAATGGAATAGTTAAGAGTAGCTCTTCCTCTCTATTTAGAGCTATATTTCTTTTTTGCCCCCAGATACTCCCTAAAAAGTATAGATCCTGTTCTGATGGCTCCCACTTGTGTGTTTTTGGCATCTAAAGTAGAGGTAAGTGGAGTATTTCTGATTTTTATGTGCAAATTTGGTTAAATGGAGAGGTATTTTAACTCCCCCCCCCCTCTTTTAAATACTGCATTTGGTATCTTTTTCCATTTGTGAAAAAGAAAAAAAATACAGTACTAAAAATTAACAAGGGTTCATTGTAATGTTGTAATGTTAGTCTCTCATATTGGCCATTTGCTGTCTTGTCTATCTTCAGTTCTGTTAGACATTGTATTTAAACAAAGTTTATATCACTATTCCAGTAGGTGTACTTTCATTAGTTTTTCCACCACTTTTTATTTTTCTACATTTCTTTTGTTAATATTTTTCTGTACCATCTCTCCTCTTAGCCTCATAACTATGGCTGTTTAATCATATGCAATGGGTACTTGGTATCAATTGCGACCCCCCCCCCCAATTGATACCAAAATCTATAGATGTTCAAATCTCATTATATACAATATAATGAGATGATGTTCATTGTATAAAATTGCAAAATCAAAGTTTCTTTTGGAGACTAAGTATTTTGAATTTGTGGATAGTAAGGGCTAGCTGTCAGCAGACCAGTTGGTAACCTCTGTTCCTTGAGCACTCAGACCTTCTGGTACTTGTCCTGCAGGTTTAGTTTAGGTTTTTGCCTTATGGACATAAAAGTGTGGCATGACAAGGGCCATCCTGTCAGTTGCATTGCAGTTGACAGGTTCTGCTGCATGTAAGGAAAATAGCCTCCTTTTCAGATGGGTTGTTAATAGCCTATAGCAGGCCTGCACAACCTGCACCCCTCCAGCTGTTTTGGCCTCCAACTCCCAGAATTCTTGGCCATTGTACAAGCTGGCTAGGGCTTCTGGGAGTGGGAAGCCTGAACAGCTGGAGGGCCGCAGGTTGTGCAGGCTTAGTGGATTGTTGAAACTTTAGTGAAGCAAGCAAAGTTTTGGAGGGGCACTTTCTACAGTAGTTCTCCATATCCAGCTTCAGCCATGTGAATTTAGCTGGCCCACAGTTACTAGCCATCCCCCCTTTTGTCCATGTTATTTTTAAGGAAGCCTTTTTAAAACTCATCATAATGATAAGCCATGATGTACATCTAATGTGGTATATCTTCCAGCATGATTTAATTTTATTTTCTTTTACTAGGAGTTTGGTGTAGTTTCAAATACAAGATTGATATCTGCTGCTACTTCTGTATGTAAGTGTAAATTATACTCTCTGTATGATACAGATGTAGAACAGCTGTTATGCTGTTATAAAAGAATGGAAAAGAGGTACCCTTTAAAAAAGAAATTCCATCCCCCAAGTGTGATAAGACTAAATACTCTTAATATTGCTGATATTTTGTAAATTCATCTTGTTTAGATTTTTTTGCATACATGATAATGGAAAATTAATACCTATAAACCAGTGAATGATTTGATGTTAGTAAATATGTGGAAAAATAATAAATATTTCAGTATAAATTTCAGACCATTGAAAGCAAAAAATTAATATCATATAAAACTTTTCATTATTTAAGCCCTTATAGTGCTGTTTCACTCACTAATATTTTCTGACTGTTCATTGCGGTTGCCATCAGATCTCAGAAATCGTCATATTCTTCAAAAGATATTGTTTCCTGCTAGTTTGTTGAAGCCTAAAATGTAAATCATTTATCGTGAATGGGATTATGAAATTCAAGAAGAAATAAATATGTTTTTATTATTCTTTTTAAAAAACATATCCTGAATTTTCTTTATTGCAGTGAAAACTAGGTTTTCGTATGCCTTTCCAAAAGAATTTCCTTATAGGATGAATCATGTAAGTATGCAGTAAGGAAATGTGTTTGTGATATGGCTTATTCCTTTCCTGTTTTTCAATGAATGACTAACTTACATTTCATGTCTCTACAGATACTAGAATGTGAATTCTATCTTTTAGAATTAATGGTAAGCTTCTCTGTTCACTTACTACATTGCTTATATTTTAAACTAACCATTCCCTGCCATGCTGTGGCCCAGTCTGTGTATATATGTGTGTGTATATGTGTATATATGTGGTTTGCATATGCATTGTAATGTATTTTTTTCAGCTTTTTAAGTCTCTTTTTTGTGTTTTTCAGTGTTTTATGAGTGATGGTCACTTGTTGGCCTGATAGGTGTATTTTGTCCAAATTTGGTGTCAGTTCGTCCAGTGGTTTTTGAGTTATGTTAACCCCACAAACGAACATTACATGTTTATTTATATAGATAGATATAGAAAGCAGTATGCATTTGCTCTTTGCATAATGGGATGTGATGTGCTACCACAAAACAGCACTTTTTTTCATTCTGCAAATCTGTGGGGTATGTATACACATACACAGAAATGCATTACATATTCACAGCAAAATGCTACCTACTTTGAGCACAGAGTGAAATACACACCAACCTAGTTATGCTTGATCTTTCAGCAGACACCACAGCCTTAAGCTCATCCCACATGCAGTAATCAATTAGCTACACATTCACCAAGTGTAAAGGTGTCAGAGAAGACTGTGTCTGTTTGCAGAACCATCGGATTTCCTGGGACACCATTTATACAGCTTGTGCAGTTAAGTTTTGTGCTAGTATAGTGTGCCAAGAGGATTCTGGTGTCATCGTGAGGAGGAAGTCAGATAATGTCCACTAGTTATGTTTCTGGTGGCCACATGGACTGCTACGGATGAAGCTGAATGTTCTGATTGTTTGGCAAATTTCAGTGAATTTAGTACTGTATTTAATTTTGATCTGCTTTTGTAATCTTCCCAGGACTGCTGTTTGATAGTGTATCATCCCTATAGACCTTTACTCCAGTATGTGCAGGATATGGGTCAAGAAGACATGCTGCTGCCGCTTGCTTGGTAACAAAAATAAAACTTTTATTTCTTTCTTTCTGAGTAAGAGCAAAGGATTAAAGAAAAGTATTTGAAAAGCAAAGTTTATTTGCCTATGAAAGTTTGACAGCAATGCATGGGAATTACTTCTTTCGCAAAACACTGGCAATCGTTTATTCAAGTAATTTCCTTTTGGAAAATGCATGGAACTACAGCATGTTGAGATGATTTATTTTGTTGTTTTTGTTGGAATTCAACCCCACACTGCCCAAGTCTTAAGTCCTCTTTGTGTTCTCTCTCTCTCTGCTCTCATTCTGATTGGCTGTGTAATAGAATGGATACTTTTCTACTGCAAGCCATTTAAAATTTGACTTCTGTTTCTTAAATCTTTGTATGTGCTGTGTGCTTTGAGATCTCTCTCTGCATGTGTGTCAGAGAGATATAGTGATTGGTGTTTTTTCCCTTCCTTTGAAACCTTAGAAGAGATGGGTGTCAGAGTATCTCAGACCCAATTTTTGCCTTTTAAGAAATGCAGGAGAAATGCCTCTAGAACATGGCCCTATAGCCCGAAAAACCCACAAGAACCTAGTGATATCAGCCATGAAAGCCTTCGACAATACAATGCAGCTATTGTTCTTTATTATTGTAAATAAACCTTTTGTGATTTTTAAAGATTGGACTCTACATCTTTGCCTGCCTAAGCTCTGAATTCTTTATAGCCGTATCACACGGCGCTTCGCGCTCTGCTTGCTAATGATTCAATGCTTAACTTTTAGTATCCTGTTTGTTTTTGGATGCTCTGCGATATATTTAGGGTAGTTTTCCCTAACAGTTTTTATGTGGGATAGCCTAATAAATGCCTGCATAGCTTTTTCTTGAAACATTAGGCATAGTCATTGAATGCTCTGATTGCTAAGAGTTCACACATGGAAAATGTATCAGAAACAGAATATGGAAATGTATTCTGTTTCAGAATAACCTTTCCTAACTTTTGTTAGACTGTGGTTCTAAAATAAATTGACATATGTGGAAGAAATATACTGAAATGTGTTCTACTAAATTGAATCTGACACCTTGATTTCATTTGAGTGTGTAAATGCATATCTTGGTTTCATATTATAACCATGATTCCTTATCTGAAGTCATCAACAACATGTTGATTTCTTGTTTTATCTGCTCAGGAGAATAGTGAATGACACCTATAGAACTGATCTTTGCCTGCTGTACCCTCCTTTCATGATAGCTCTAGGTAGGTAATTGTTAAAGACGTTTATCATTATTTGAATGGAAAGGTTTGGTGTGGCATTCCATCCTTAGCCATCCTCATATAATATCTAATGTTGAGATCAAAACCTCAATGCATTTATTCTTTTCAGTTAATAATGGAAACATTTTTGATAGACTTCTAGAAAAAGAAAGTGGCAATGAAGCTAGAAATCTGTAAATTTATATCTCAAGTGAATGTCAATAACATGAAATACCTCAAATGGCAACATGGAAAATGTGTTCTTGAAATCCTGTAATACAGACACAAAGTTCTGACAACAAGCTTTGTTTTTACCAATACTTGTTTTTGCAAATAATGTATCTAACGTCATATCCAACATTTGTTTACTTTGCAGCTTGTCTACACGTGGCTTGTGTTGTCCAGCAAAAAGATGCTAGACAATGGTTTGCTGAGCTCTCTGTTGATATGGAAAAGGTAGTTACATTTTATTAGCTTTAGATTAAGTCACGAGAAAAACTGCAGGCTATCCACATTAGACTTGTATCTTATAGCATAAGAATATTGAACAAAATGGGTAAGCTGCAAAATGTATTGAGCCACCATTTTCTGGGGAAACCATGAAAGCAGAAAACGTGTACCAGTTTCTTTAACTGGAATTGGAGAGCTACATGCAACTCTGAGCTTAGCCAGCTGTTTTTCTAATAGTCTCGTTAGATTGTAGTTTCCGGGTTTTGCTGTGGTGGCAAGGGGAAGCAGATAAAACAGTTTCTCCAGTACCTGGTGCCTCTTCTTCCTCATAACTGCTGGTGTAATGCATCAACCAGATTCTGGTCTAAGTGATCACACCAATTTTGCGTCAGATTGCAAACTACAGGCAGTTGATTGCACTCTAAGTTTTCATGAGAATTCCACAGGAAGACAAACATTCAGGAAAACTGTCATAACACATTTTCATCTATTTAAAGTATTTATTCCCAGTTCTTCAACCAAAGAGATGGCCAAAGTGGCTTTAAAGTAGTTGATATGTTAATTTCCTGTCCTTCGTCTTACAGTCTAGTATTTATATAATCTGAACTTTATCCTTTTAAAGTATAAATAATCGCTGAAGTTGCAGACTTTGGGATGGCATTAAAATATATTCTCCTTTATTCTCCCCCTTCCATAGATTGTATTATTATTATTATTATTGAAAACAAAACCATGCATATAAAATATTGTCATTCACTCATGTTCTTGCTTAGATTTTAGAAATAATCAGAGTTATCTTGAAACTGTATGAACAATGGAAAAACTTTGATGAAAGGAAAGAAATGGCTACAATCCTAAGTAAGATGCCTAAACCAAAACCACCTCCAAACAGGTAGGTGTCTTCAAACTGTGAAACAACAGTAATTCTTAAATGACTGAATTTGAAGAGAGCATATTTGAAATGTAAACACAGCATTTTAGTAAAGTTCTATCTACAGAGATTGTTTTATATTGGAGTATATTTCTGGTTGTGACATTGGGTCTGTGAGAAAAGGTTTAACTTTTGATATAATTGAGAAGTGTTTTGATCAATTACACATTTCCCTATTTTATTTTGTGAAATTAGCTAACAAGTTAGCTAACACTTATTTAAGACTAGGCATTGTTCTGTGAGGCTTCAGTTATGGGACTGTCATAACTCAATGGTTCTCAACCTGTGGGTCCCCAGATGTTTTGGTCTTCAACTCCCAGAAATCCTAACTGGCTGAGATTTCTGGGAGTTGTAGGCCAAAACACCTGGGGACCCACAGGTTGAGAAACACTGGTAATAACTGAACCAAAGTGTTAGGCCATATGCTTTCAGATGTAATGGATTTTTTATCATGGTTGATCATTACTAAAATAAACCACAGCATATTTTAGTCCCATGTACTCCTTCCTGTGGTATGATGTGAGAAGACAGTTAGAAGTTTTTGCTTTCATATTTGTTGTTTGAACGTAAACTATGGAAATGAAATGAAGTTTCACTCTCTTTGTAGCCATTTGGCAGAGGAGAGAGGAGCAGGCATGTCTAAAGTTTGTTGTGGCTCATCTCTTCACATTATAGTACAACTTAATAAAAGCGTCGTGACACATAACTTACATGCCACATCAAACCAATTTCTTACACCCAATTTACATAAATCTTGCAACGTAAAGAATTCTCTAAGCTTGAAGCAAATTCCTATGAAACTATTTTTCTTACATACAGACTGGGGCATAGAGATCTTTCAAATTTCTAGGAAGCACTGTGTGGGCTATAGTGGGAGTAGAAAGATGGGGTAAATATAACTCATTAGGTTAGGCTTTGACATTTTCAGTACCTATCATGAGTTGGACTAGTGAACATCGGGGCGTTGTTCAACCATATTATGAGGACAAATGTTCTGTGAGAACTACGCAGAGAGCATTCTGTACACACTTCACGCCATTCCACCTGAGGTGACCCAGGGAGTGATGGAAAAATTCCGGGAATGTCTTGAGTGATGTCTTGCCAAAAATGGCTGCCATCTGTCTGATATGATTTTTAAAACCCATTAAAACAAAACTATTTTATGTACTTTTCAGAAGTATGTACCATTTTTTCCTAGATAGCTTTGTTCAATTTTTAATACCCCTTCAAAATGTGGGAGATCTTTATGCTCCAAGCTATGCTTCCTGTTATGCTCACAAATGCCTCCACATGAATTCTTTCAGTTTAAGAGCGGTATGGATGGATTGGGAAGGCCTCAGGCTGTATTGAAAGTGTAAATTGCTGTAGCAAAGCTCATGATTTCCTGCTCTGAGTGTTAACAGAGGCTCAAATGTTTGATGTGTTCATATCTGCTTTATTCCAAACAGTGAAGGTGATCAAGGGCCAAACGGGAGTCAGAATTCTAGCTACAGCCAGTCTTAAGACATTCCAAAGATACTCACTCTGGACCATTTTGGATGAAGACACACTGGGATTCTTTTTTTCCTTGGTGGAAGACATGGACAGAAGGTTTCAATAACGGCTTTTCAGAAAGAACTTGAAGAATGTTTCTGTCAAGTGTATTGAAAGCTTTCCTTTAGAAACAGATTTTGAATTGTGCCACAAAGAGTTACCAATCAAATCAAAAACCTTGGATAATGCTAGGAAAAGCATATACCATTCAGTTTAGAGAGTGAAGAGTTTGATACTTTTGCTACTTTAAAAAGTGAAGAGTTTAAGAAACCTTGTTATTATAGAGCTGTGTAACTAACTGGATCTTTGTTGTCCTAATACTAGTTTGAACACAGGAGGTGACTTGAAACGTTGGACTTGAAATTCTAATTTTCTAGGTATATTTTATTTAAATGCCAGTGGATATTGTACAGGACGGAGAACACATCTTCAGTAAATTACTGGAAAAAATACCCTCAAAAATAAGGCTACATTGCATTCTTCATCTGAACTGCAAACTCTTGGTACCTATAGATATGCATCTAGCATATCCAAAAGAGTGCAATATGTAAAACAAATTATGGCCATTTAAGGGAACATTTCACTTTTTATAAATGCAAAATTATTAAGTCCTTGTGCAAACTGCAAGTCAAATTTTGCAATCCAATCAAGTTGTGAAGCGTAGAATCTATTTGAAGTTGTGCTGGTGGGTGTGTGCTACAATTTTGTCTGCCTTCATTTGTTGCTCTGAATGATTTTTAACAAGGGCCTCTTGAGAAAGTAGCAGCTGTTGAGATGAGACTAGATTTTATTCCACAATGAAGTATTTATTGTAGATCATTCGAGAGCTTTGTTGCTCTTTTCTAATCAGAGGGCCACATCCTGTGCTGCTTACTCAGGCAGACTTCCCCATGAAAATGGGATTTGCTCTAACTCCGTAGGGTTTTAATGAACAAATTCTGCATTTCATTACAAGTGTTTGTTTCCTATCCTAAAACAAGGTGAAAATGATGACCAGTTTTCAGTGTAAGAGCTCTTATACTGCTATAGAAACAGAAGAATGTTGATAGAAGTCTAGTCACATGGTGCTTTTTCTAAAACTTGATTTTAAAAAAGCAGGAATGCCTGCCTCTACTTGATCTGTCATTCAATTAAGTGTAACCAAAGTGTTTTTGTATGCAAATGCTTGGGCTCTTTGCACTTAACTGTTGGAAGTTATTTTTATAAAATGTGTTCCGAAACTGGCTTACAACATTTATGTGAGACATGATGAATTTCTGACTTCCTCCAACTCCTATTATTTGTTCATTGATCTTATATCATACCTTTGCTAACATAATTGTTTGAAGATACTGTGTCCATAGTATTTTGGAAATTGTGTTTTCCTGAGGATTTAAACTTAATTTGTAGTATGGAGTAGCTGTGTAGGAATAAAAATAAATGCAGATGGACAAGTTTGATTGGTTTTATTCTAGAACTAAAAATTCATGTCAAGACATAAACCAGGTATATAAAAAGAACTACAACCTATAAAATCACAAGAAACTGTCTTAATAAAATAAGATTGCATCTTTCATTAACTGTAGCTTTGTAAGATAGTAACTGGCTACTACAGTTATATACAGTAGATATAATGTCGAAGTCAGTAGTTTTCACTTCTCTCTGTTTGAACAAAAACATATTTCTGCTGGAAAAATTAGTGTAAGTTTTCTTACTAGTTTCATCTATTACTTTTTATAATACATAGCTTTCATCTTAATGTAATGACTGAAGGAACCCCACATGCCATTTAAAGTCAACTAACATACCATTATCATAGGAAGAGCTAATAATTTAAATACCATATGATCCCTTTCAAAAAATCTACCTTAGACATTTTAAGAAGAATCTTAGGCTGATCTGCCTCAATGTGTGTTGCAGCATTCCCGTGTAGTTTCAAGATGCTGAATATTTTTTCCAGAAAGCATTTCTTCACAGAAGATTCATATCTTTCCATTCTTTGAAGCCACCAGCATAATGCCGAACTCTGAAAGAACATATTTCAATGTTTAACACATTTCATACTGTAGAGGTTACTTCCTCTATTTGTCCTAGAGTTGGGTCACACAAAAGGGTAGTCCCTGGACTGGTGCCAGCCCCCAAGTTCTTGGCTGCATGCGTGCAAAATTTCCAGGAAAATGTATTGTCGAAGGCTTTCATGGCCGGAATCACTGGGTTGTTGTAGGTTTTTTGGGGCATGGCCATATAGCCCGAAAAAACCTACAACAACTCATTTCCAGGAAAGTAAGGAGTTATGACAAATGTACACAAATATGGTGCCAAGTACCTGGTTCTTTACAATAAAGCCTGTAGGTCCACTTCAGAAAGGTTAAGAAGCAATGCTCTAGATCACATTGGTCAGACCAGAACCATTTAGTGGGTTTATAGCTGTGTGAAGTTGTCAAGCTTAAACAGTCAACCCCTGAATGTGCGTTGGTGCAGTAGTAATCTTTTAAACAAGGTAAAGGGACAGCAACAAACAGTATGGTTCACACTGTTCTCTTTAATGTAGCACCTCATTTTTAAATCACCCTATTTCAGCTTTTGTGGACCAGAACCAAAAGGGGCTTCTGAAATTCTGGTGAAAGCTAACACAAAGCAGGTTTCGTTAAAATCTCTGCATGGCACCTGGAGACTGACAAAACAGGCAGAAACCGCTATCTTAGGGGCCTTCCACACAGTCATATAACAGAATATTGTAGACAGAAAATTTATTTACTTTTATTTACTTTGCTTATATACCGCTGTATCTCAAGCCCGAAGGCGACTCACAGCGGTTCAAAATCCTACAATATCTCATTTGAACTGGGTTCAAAGCAGAAAATGTGGGGTTTTATTTAGCTGTGTGGAAGGGGCCTTAGTTCTTTTGGTAACAGCTAAACTTGTCTCAAAGGGGAAAGCTCTAAAATGCCTTCGGGCAATTTCAGTTTAGTTCCATGGATTGTCCTTAAAAAACATCTCTTACTAAATTTACAGGATTCAGAGGAGTCATCCAGTGGGTTTCCATGGCTAAGTGGGGATTTGAACTTTGATCTCCAGAGTAAAGTCTAATACCAAAACAATACATCACACTGGCTCCCCTTATAGACATATAATTACTTTTAATTATGAAAGTAATTAATTAAAGTTTAAAACATGGTACTGATATATCGCTATAGGTACAACCCTAAATAACTTTTTAAGCCACATAATACTTGGTTATTCTCATAAGATACTTTTTTCATCTTGTTTCCAAAGCATGTAATTTGCTATTAACATAGATGTTCAAGACCCTTTACATTACAGTATTATTCTATGGTTAATGTTCCCAAATGCACTACTTTCTGATTTTAAATTTTAATAATTGTGTTTTTAATTCTATTTTATTGGTTTTAAATTGCATTTTTAAGGCTGAATTGTTTTGGGTCTCAATCCAAAGGAAAAAAGTGAGGTACTTCTACTATTGCCACTAATAATAATCCAAAGCAGTGAATAAATGCAGTCAAACTAATAAAAGCAGTTAAACCAAAAGAAAGAAATTATGTTTCTTTTTCCAGACTTGCTCCAACTACTTTGAAGTGCATATTAATATTAACTACTTTTAAGTTTTCAAGAAGGGACTAATGATTACTGGTTGGTGAAAACTTTCCAACACAATTCATTTCTGCAGATCTAGATGTTCAGCCACCCATAAATTACACAGAAACATAAATGAGATCTCTAGAACTGCTGATTTGCCACACCAAGAGCAAAAAAAAAAAATAAAATTACAGGAAGTACTATGTTGCCTCCCCTGCTTTCCACCTCTGCTTTCGCTTTACTCTGAAATAAAATGTCTACAGGTATAAATCTATCTTGTAGGTCTTTTTCACTTACCTGCTGAATCCCAGAGACTTTGCAGCAGCTAGAGCTTGCTTACTTCTCACTCCTGCCAGACAGGAAAAGACTAAGTGGTCTGATTTAGAAGGCATATCTTGCCTATATTTCTCTTTAAAATCTTCTGGGTCCATCTGTAATGCTTCTGCAACCTCACCCACTGAAAGGACACAAAAGAACTATTAGTTTAATCAATTTCTTCCATGACAAGTTGGTACGATGACAAAGAACTACAGGTAATGAAATCCAGATTGTAGGTGAATATTATGTATAGGGAACTGCTTGGGCAGAAGATAGACTTGTTTCTCCCTCTCAGGGCTCTTCCACAGGCATATATAACCCAGAATATCAAAGCAGAAAATCCCAAAATGCATGTTTTGAATGGTTATTTGAGGCTCCTTCCACACAGCTAAATAAAATCCCACATTATCTGCTTTGAACTGCAATATATGGCAGTGTGGACTCAGATGACCCAGTTCAAAACAGGTATTGTGGGATTTTCTGCCTTGATATTTTGGGTTATATGACCGTGGAAGGGCCCTGAGTCAACAGACTGTAGCCAGATTGCTCCCCAGAGCAGCATACAACCCCTCTACTACGCCAGCTCCACTGGTTGCCAATCTGCTACCAAGCACAATTCAAAGTGTTGGCTTCAGCCAGGCCCGTAGCCAGGATTTTGTTTCGGGGGGGGGGGGGGGGGGGGTGAGTCTGAGTGAAAGAGGGTCTACCCTAGCAAACCTTTTGTATCGTTACCCCAATACCCCCATGCATACCCCAATACCCCTTCCCATGGATGTTAGATCAGCCCCTTCGTTAATGGTGTTTCAAAGAAAACTAAAAACCTGGCTGTTTGAACAGGCATTCGGATAAACAGTGCAATGTACACGATGAATATAGGAACAGGATTATGGATGACGAATTGGATCACGATTTGTTAATGTGTTGGTATTGATGTGTTATTATCATGTATATTATGTTAATGGTTTTTAAATTTTGTAGGTTGTTGGACTGACTTTTTGCTCTTGTTGTGAACCGTGTTGAGTCACCTACGGGCTGAGAAACTGCGGTATACAAGCAAAGTAAATAAATAAATAAATAATAAATATATTGAGCATGGTGATCAGGTCATTACATGAATAAACATAACAGTTTAAATAATGTACCAGTAAGGCCTTCTCGCGAACCACCATGAGAATTTCGGCTACATTCCTGGCTTCAGCTTATAAAGCCCTGAACAGTTCTGGCCCAGCTTACCTGTATGAATGTATCTCCTGCTGTGAACCATCTCAAAGTCTAAGATCGACAGAAGAGGCCCTGCTCTCAGTCTCACCATCCTCGCAAGCAAGACTGGTGGAGACGAGAGACAGGGCCTTCTCAGTGGTGGCCTCTTGCCTGTGGAACTCTATCAAGTTTGTTTATTTATTTATTTATTTATTTACTCCATTTGTATACCGCATATATCAGCCTAAAGCGGCGACTCTATGCGGTTTACAGTAAAAACAACACTAAACAATGTATAAGACACACAATACAAACAAACACATAGTCATCAACGCCACACTTAGAATCAGATTCCGATCTCATGATCCATTTCCATTCCTTGTCCAATGCCGTCATTATTGAGTTGGTTGTTACTGCATAGACTATCCGAATGCCTGCTCGTAGAGCCACGTCTTCACCCTCCTCCGAAACACCAGCAACGAAGGGGCCTGCCTGATGTCCACCGGTAGCGCATTCCATAGCCGAGGGGCCACCACCGAGAAGGCCCTGTCTCTCGTGCCCGCCAGCCGCACTTGTGACGCCGGCGGAACCGAGAGCAGGGCCTCCCCGGAAGATCTTAACGCTCTTCCCGGTTTGTAGGAGGAGATGCGTTCGGAGAGGTAAGTGGGGCCGGAACCGTGTAGGGCTTTATAGGCTAAGCCCCCCTCCCTCTTGTCCTCTAGAATGAAACCCAAAACCTGGCTATGGGAGCAAGTGTTCAAACAGTAGAGGCAGCAATTTAGAATGGGACCCAATTTGTGTGAATGATAATGGACTAACCTGGACTATGATTTCAAACCTGCATGATTTTAACAATGTTTTGGTAATTTTATGTTTTAATTGCTTTTATCATTTATTACTATTGCTGGCACTGAATGAATTGTGAAGCTGCCCTGAGTCCTCCCCCAGAGGTGAGAAGGACAGGATATAAATATGCGAAATAAATAAATACATTCCGGTTGAAAGAAGGACGAGATACAAATATGCTAAATAAATACATTCTGGTTCAAAGCAGAAAATGTGGGATTTTATTCAGCTGTACGGAGGGGGGCTCAGTCTCAGGATGAGAAACTTTTATAACTTACGTGGAATGCAGATGGACCCAGGGATTCCCCCAGATTTCCCGACCTCCCATTTCTCCCTGACATCAATAAGCGAAATGGCCTTGGAGTCCAGCAACTCTTTGAGTTCCTTGTAGGAGACCTTGTTGTGGTCCTCCTCGGTGGTATAAAAACGGCAAACAGGGAATGGCTTAGTTCTGCGATCTGTAGAGGAAAAATAAAACAACCTCACAATTAAACACCAGAATATACAGCCAGTCAGCCACTAAGATCAAGTGAAGTACAGAAGTGGTAAACAGAATATAGTGCAGGCCTGGGCAAACTTGGGCCCTCCCTCCAGGGGTTTGGGAGTTGTAGTCCAAAACCCCTGGAGGGAGGGCCCAAGTTTGCCCAGGCCTGTAGGCAGAGCAGTTCAAGCTCATTCATGGAAGGACCCCAGGAGGCCCCTCCCTCTCTGCCTGCCTCCCGAGCCACTTACTGCCAGAGCTGGGCTGAAGGAAAGCGCCTTGGCAGGGACCCTGAGCCAGCTGGTGCAGCCCTGGGCCTCGGCAAGGCTGTGTGGCTGGGCCCCGGAGGCCAAGGGCGCCATTGACGCGGCCCAGCTGCCTCCAGGAGCCCCTCCACATGCCTCTTTCCTTAGGAGAGGAGGCGGGGTCCTCCTCCCGCCTTAGTAGGCCGCGGCATTCGCCTGCTTGCTTCTTGGCCTCTGCTCCACCTGCGGGGATAAGATATGGTCTCGGCAAAGGATGGGTCTAAACCACGCATGCGCAAACTTGGGCCCTCCTTCCAGGTGTTTTGGACTTCAACTCCCAGAAATCCCAGCAAGTTTACCAACAGCATGTATATTTTCAAACAAAGTTATTTTTATAGAAACAATTATAATACTGAAAATCTTACTTTAGAAAGAAAGATTTAAAATAGATTCTCCATTTGACATAACTGAAACATACTAAATAACAGTAGCAGAAGAGCCATACTGAAAAGTCTGGTGAAATCATGGTGTTTCCCCATCAAGCAGAGTGATTGGCCTGCTTCTGGGAGTTGAAGGCCAAAACATCTGGGGACCCACAGGTTGAGAACCACTGCGGTAGGCCTTGAAGATCAAAACACTTGGAGGGCTGAAGGTTAGGTTGCCCATGCCTGACTATAACATATTTGTATTGAAGTCTTTCATAGCTGGAATCACTGGGTTGTTGTGTGTTTTCCGGGCTATGTGACCGACCATGTTCCAGAAGCATTCTCTCCTGACGTTTCGCCCACATCTATGGCAGGCATCCTCAGAGGTTGTGAGGTCTGTTGGAAACTAGGAAAATGGGGTTGATATATCTGTGGAAGGTCCAATGCTAATCAAGGTGGCCAATGGAAACATACACACCTGCCTCAAGCAGACAAGAGTTTTTTCTCCCACCACGGACATTTCACAAATATATCAATCCTATTTTCCTAGTTTCCAAGAGACCTCACAACCTCTGAGGATGTTCCCATAGATGCAGGCAAAACGTCAGGAGAGAATGCTTTTGGAACATGGCCACACAGCTCGGAAAACACACAACAACCCTATAACATATTTCCTTTTTGTGTGGAGTAAACTGAGAAGACCAGGAGGAGCTAGCCTTTAAAATGTTTAAAAGCAAATAACTTGGAAAGTTACTTGGCTGTTCCAGTGTGCCTTCAATGAATGAATAACAATAACCTCTGACCTGACTAAACCCTGCATAAAATGCCTTTGGAAGCACTTTATTTTACTTGTTAGTGCAATTGAACCTTATTTCGTTCCTCAGATCCCCTGTCCAGATACATTACATTGCTCTCTCACACAGTGTTTTTTAAACTTTTAATGTCTGCAGCCTGCCCTGCCATGTAAGCCACCCCGAGTCCCCTTGATACATACACATATATGCAAAAAAATTAGTTGGTATTCTGGGCCACTATTTAAACTTATAGAAGATATTACAAAAGCAAAATCATAACATTTTCTTCTCCCCCTTCCCCTTCTTTATAAAAATAATCCTTGAATAATGTTTACATTTATGTACAATATATTCTGAGCTTGTAATCCTGTCATAGAGTCATAGTTGGAATAGACCTCGTGGGCCATCCAGTCCAACCCCCTGCCAAGAAGCAGGAAAATCATATTCAAAGAACCTGTGACAGATGGCCATTCAGCCACTGTTTAAAAGTCTCCAAAGAAGGAGCCTCCACCACACTCAGTGTCTCAAAAGAGTCCAATCTAGCAAAATACATTTAAAATATATACCATACGCCACTTTATGAAGACCTATATTTTCCAGCAGGCCTACACAGTCAGAAAGAAAAGGAGAAAAAAATACTGTATAACTGATACATAGGGCTCTGACCTCCAATTCGCTGTAATTTTTTAAAAAGGAAAAAAATATTCTACTATTACAGATCTACTTAATATTTCTGTTAACATTGCTCATAATTATAGACCACATCACTAAAAAATCTAAAAATAGTTTCCAATTTTTCAAAAAGTATTAAATCCTCAGGAACCCTAGCTATCCTTCACTAATTTAAACTCTTTTTAAAGACCTCATTATATTACTTCACTAGGTTTTTCTTCAAATTATTTTGTCATTAAAAGATGGTTTTGAACCTATCTGTAAAAAAGGATGCCATATGGACAGGCTGGCAGCCAGCAACTAGTGAACCCTTTTTGTGTGCCAGCTTATATCTGTCACATTTTCCCTTCATAAAGATGCTTTACCCTTGATTTAAATATAACCCTCAAGAAAGTCAATACTATACTTCTTCTAAATGAATGTAAGAACAAATAATAATTATAACACTCCTTTATGAGCAATATCAAATTATATTAAAAAGATGAAATAGTCCCCATTACCACTGATTAGTCCCCTGATACAGAGGAATACATATATGGAGATATTCCTTTTCATTGTTGCATTTATGTGCAAACACAGAAATTACTGCATATTGAACAAAATCCTGTATGCATCTGATCAGTTGTTTATCAAAGACATCCCATTCCTTTCAATGGATCACAATAGCTCAATGCTGGTCAGGAATGTTCAACCAAATTGACAAAAGTTGTAGAAGGATATATTGTTTTTAGCTGCAAACCTTAACTTCCTTTTGTATATAAAGTTCTGTCCCATTCCTGGAATCTGAGAGATTTAGTTGTCTAAAATTTTAATTATTTTGTTAATATTATTGAAACACAATAAGATTAGTACACAGCAAACAAGATCACTATGCTCGTTATTGTACTGGATCATACGTCGGACACTTCCCAAGTGTCTAGGACTATGTGATTTTTCGATGAATAATGTATGCAGATCCCAGTAGGGTGGCCTTTTGCAGCTGACAGATGGTAATTTTGTCAGCGCCAATTGTGTTTAAGCGCAGGCCAAGGTTTTTAAGCACTGCATCCAGTGTGCTGATCACCACTGGAACCACCTTTACTGGCTTGTGTCAGAGTTCTTGCAGTTTGATCTTTAAATCCTCGTATAGTGTCAGCTTTTCCAGTTGTTTCTCTTCAATCTTGCTGTCGCCTGGGATTGCAACATCGGCAATCCCTACTTGGTTTTTTAACATGATTGTGAGGTCAGGAGTATTGTGCTCTAAAACTTTGCCAGTCTGAATTTGGAAGTCCCAGAGCAGTTTGACATGTTCATTTTCTGTAACCCTTTCAGGCTTGTGATCCCACCAGTTCTTTGTCACAGGCAGATGGTATTTGTGGCACAAGTTCCAATGAATAATAATAATAATAATAATAATTATTATTATTATTATTATATTTATTTACACCCGCTTTATCTTCCTTGAAGGGGTCTAAAAGCGGCGTAACATAAAAACGATAGCACAGCATTTAAAATATACAAATATTAAAACAGAATTAAACATAAACAATATTAAAAGATCCACAGTTAAAACCATTCAAAAGTATTTGATGCATATTCAAAGCTAAAACCACAGCTCCTCTTCAATTTATCTCTAAAACCTTCATTTTTAAAAGCCTGCCTGAATAGAAAGGTTTTAGCTTGCTGCCAGAAGGACAGCAACTATTTTGAACAATATATCTTCAATAATATAGATATTCCACATAGAGCAGTGGTTTATAACCTCTGGGCCACGGACCACCAGTGAGCCATGAGGATGAAAATCTGGTCCACGAGCCTCCTTCCTCTTTATTTATTTGTTTGTTTTGTTTCATTTATTTTATTTCTACTCTTCTCGCGCCGCCTGCCACTCTTTCCCTGTCACTGACCATGGCATATGTTCTATATCAAAAACTAGAGCTGATGTGGTCTATTGATTGCAATTTTCTGAATAAGCACCCCAAACTGAATCTAAAGTTGACCAAAAACTCATTCATAATCCTTTCGGTACTAATGTTAGGTCCCTGGTCAAAGTGGTCTCTGAGCAAATGGTCCCTGGTCAAAAAAAGGTTGGAAAGCACTGACACAGAGCAACCCACACATGCAGTTTGACCTTCCTCAGTTATGTCTATGCCTTTGTAGCAGGCAGTACATCAGCAAAGTGTGTGTGCCTGGTCAACCCACCTCAAATAACATAATTCTTGGGGTAGTTGAAAAAGTCCAGCCAGCTACAATGAAAGATTTCAACAATATCTCAAATGAGGATTTGAGAACGAATTTCAGCAGCAACTGCCCTAGAGATCAAATACAGGAATTGCTGTATTTGATCTCAAGAAGCCTATTCCAAATGGGATAAATTGCACTTGCATGTATGTTCAGTTAAAAAACATTGTCATTACTTTTGAGACAAAGCATGTATACTAGTAGAGGATGAAGGCAAAAGCAAATTGTTGCAGTCTCTACTAGTTGGCATGCTCTTCCTTACTAACAATGTTTGCTATCCTGACCACACACTGATGTTACTTTGTTTTCATTTGTGAAATTTTGGAGTGCAGCAGGTCCTTCATATCCACAGATTCAATCCACAGATGTAAGGGGCTGCATTTATATAATTAGACTTGGGCATCTATGGATTTTGGTATATAGAGGGTCCTGGAACCAAACCTCAGCAGATGCCAAATTCTCATCACATCTGATATATCTCAAGGGCAACTCATTTACAGTTTATGCTTTAAACAAAACAAGCAGTGAGCAGGAGGAAGCTTGCGAGAATAGAAATATTTTCACCAACAAAGTGAAGGATTATTTTGTATTGTAATAATGCACTTCTATGTGGCTATTTATTGGGAGCAGGGGAGGGGGCCTATCCTGAAGAAGAGGCACTGACAATTCCAGCAGAAGGCTCTTAATTCTGAATGTTTGCTTTAATTTCCAAGTACACCAACGTCAGTTTCTTCAGCTCGAACTCAGATAACAGTTTATGAAGTGCCATACTGTAGCTAGCTATCATATGACATGACTGGTTTGTACCAGTGATAGGTCTTGCATGTGGAAAGGCAAAGCCACCATATGCCATGAGGTTGGCTGTTAAAGGGCTTTCAAAATATTGTGAAACATTATTTAAAATAATATGCATACTATTGCAGGCAAAAAAGAAGCATTGGGAAAAAAATGACTACTTGAAAGGAAACCTGCTGGTAGCCAGGACTTAATAGGAATTAGTTAGACTCACCTGTATCAAAATATATCTTAATAAAGAGCAATGCAAATGGAAAGATCTTTTCATAAGGAATTTGTCATAATGCTAGTGGGTGAATCACCAGCCGGTCGTGTCAGCTGGTAGCACAAGGCTCGCCATGTGGGAGGCCCAAATATAGCAGTGATCTCCCCTCGCCCCCACTTTGCCCAGGGCTAAAAGACAAAATCCTACACTTATATATATATTTTAAAAATGTAGGAAATATTGTCAACCCTTTACGAACAAATTAAGGTAAGACAAAATAGTTATAAAAGTTCACATTAGAAGCAGATGTGTCTGTAACACCTTGTATCAGAAACATTAACTTTCAAGAGGAATGAATAGAATGACATTCTGAACCCATAGAAAACTGAGGAAGGGTAGGATGATGCTCATTTCATTTAGACAGGCATCATTTCGCGACACAGTGATTCAGTTTTACTAGCAAACCCAAGTTTAAACTAACCCTTTATAAGAGATATAGACACATACACATTTTTTTCTGTGTCAGGAGCAACTTGAGAAACTGTAAGTCGCTTCTGGTGTGAGAGAATTGGGCGTCTGAAAGGACATCACCCAGGGGACGGCTGTACGTTTTGATGTTTTATCATCCTTTTGGGAGGCTTCTCTCATGTCCCCGCATAGGGAGCTGGAGCTGACAGAGGAAGCTCATCCGCACTTTCCCTGGATTTGAACCTCTGACCTGTTGGTCTTCAGTCCTGCCAGTACAAGGGTTTAACCCATTGCACCACCGGGGGCTCCTTATACACAAATTGTAATAACAAGACCTATGGGGATACTATGTATCTCGTGAAAACCTTCCATTTGTTTTTGTTTTTTTAAATACATTGATTTATTGCTCATTTCACAGACTCAGAGGATTCTTGCTCCTGGGTTGCTGTGTGTTTTATGGGCTGTATAGCCATGTTCCAGAAGCATTCTATCCTGACATTTCACCTGCATCTATGGCAGGCATCCTCACGTCTTGACTTTTTTCTGGAATGTTAAAAGGAAGATGGCTGATCTTATATCTGTAGGGAGGGCATTCCACAGCCGTGGGGCCACCGCTGAGAAGGCCCTGTCTCTCGTCTCTGCCAAACATACTTGTGACAAAGGCGGTAATGAGAGCAGGGCCTCCCCAGATGATCTTAAGGTCCTAGATGGTTCACAAGGGGAGATGCATTTGGACATGTAAATTGGGCCAGAACCATAGGACTTTATAGGCTAAAGCCAGCACTTTGAATTGTGCCCAGTAACAAACTGGCAGCCAACGGAGCTGGCACAACAGAGGAGTTTTTAATTAATTAAAAATGTTGTCCAAAGTTTTGGGAGTTTTGCCTTGGAAGTTCCTGTATTTGTTGTCATGAACTCCAATGGACTATTTCCTGGATTTGCTGTTCCTATCTTTTTTGGATTTACCTATTTTTGTGGATTCATAGAATCATAGAATCAAAGAGTTGGAAGAGACCTCATGGGCCATCCAGTCCAACCCCCTGCCAAGAAGCAGGAATATTGCATTCAAATCACCTTTTTACTGCGATTGCTTTTAATTATCTTCAACAAACTGCTTGCATTTTACTCAGCTTTGTGGTGTTTAAAATCAGAGGGCTTTTCTTGGCCTGGAGTGCAACGGGCAGGCATGCTCAGAGGTTTGGCTGCTCTGGACTCCTGGGAGTTGCCGTTTGGGAAGGCAAACTGCAACTCCCAGGGCCGAGAAGGCTTGCGGAAGGACGGCTCGCATGGAGGGAGCCCAGGCAGGCAGGTCAAGTGCGGTCAAAGCGCCTTAGCCTAGAGATGGAGATGCGCCCCAAGGCAGGCTGGCCACGAGAGGCGGGACCAAGGGAGGCCCAGCCGAAGGGGGAAAAGGAGGCCCTTCCCGGCCTTCCTGCTCCTCCCCTTCCCGTCGCTGCTGCTTTTGCTGCTTCCAAGGCTTGCTGGTTGACCGGGCGAAGCTGTGAGTGCGGAAGGAAGGGAGACGGGGAGGAGGAGGAGGGAAGAAGGCCGGGCAGAAGCGAGGCTGCCTTGGCCCAAGGAGGCGCCGCTTTGCTCGCCCTTGCCGGGGTTTTAGAGGGCTCGGGGTTTGCTTTGCCAGAGGGGCCTTCTGCTGAGCTTGCTGGGTCGCCCTTTCTGGCTCCCAGGATTGAGCTTTGGAAAGGGTCAGTCCAGCCTCCTTGAATCAGTATAGATTCCCCATCGCTTCCTGGTTCTTTCTGCACTGCAGACTAGACACACACCACCCTCCCTGATGTATTTAGGTATCCTCCAGGTGCTCCTTTGGGTCCTTTCTTTGGCTCTCTGTGCTTCTTGGTTTTTCTAACAGTCCTGGGGTGCATCTACACCAGGAATGGGCAAATTTGGGCCCTTCCCTCCAGGGGTTTTGGACTTCAACTCCCACAATTCCTAAAAGCCAGTAGGCTGTTAGGAATTGTGGGAGTTGAAGTTCAAAACCCCTGGAGGGCTCAAGTTTGCTCATAATAATAATAATCCCAGGTGACAGCAGGATTGAAAAGAAACAACTGGAAAAGCTGACACGATATGAGGATTTAAAGATCGAACTGCAAAGACGTGCCAGTCAAGGTGGTCCTAGTGGTGATCGGCACACTGGGTGCAGTGCCTAAAGACCTTGGCCTGCACTTAAACACAATCGGCGCTGACAAGATTACCATCTGCCAGCTGCAAAATTTTTATTTATTTATTTACTGTATTTATACCTCGCTCTTCTCAACCCCAAAGGGGACTCAGAGCAGCTTACAGATTGTGGCAACATTCAATGCTGCATCATACAACAAATAATAAATATATCATATCAAATTATAAAACAAAACATAAATGCAATAAGTGCAACAACAAATAATAAATATAACATATCCAATTATAAAACATATAAAAGGCCACCTTACTGGGATCTGCACACATTATCCCCAATACATCACACAGTAATAATAATAATAATAAAACTTTATACCCTGCCACCATCTCCCCAAGGGACTTGGAGTGGCTTACATGAGGCCAAGCCCACATCAGTAAAAACAACAAGCAATAAGCAAATAAACAATACAATTAATATAATTCACATATAGACAATAACACACAAAGATTTAAAAACCTATAACCGGGCCAGATGTAATAGTTAACATTTTAAAAATAAATGCTGGGCATGAACAGAGGTAGGATGTATCTAGTAGGAGGGTTTTAAACAAAATGTAGGGAGAGCAACCCAACGGGTAATTAAAGTGCTTCTTGGGATATTTTGCAGGGGATTGTTTCCTTTATTCAGGGAAGGCACACTGGAACAGCCACATTTTCAGGCTCCTCCTAAAGACTGCCAATGTGGGGGCTTGTCTGATATCCTTGGGGAGTGAGTTCCAGAGTCGAGGGACACTTAGGAAGTGTCTCATTTGTGATCCAATACAACAGCCAGCCGAGTGATCTTGTTTGCTGTGGACTCACCTTGTGGTGTTTCAAATAATAAACTTTATTTATACCCCACCACCATCTCCCCAAAGGGGACTCGGGGCAGCTAGCATGAGGCCAAGCCCAAAAATACAATACAGCAAAATAAAATACAGAATGCAGATAACAAGAAATTACGTCAGAATAAAATATATACAGTAGCCAAATAAAATAAATAAATCAGATTTATTTATTTATCATGTCAGGAGCAAGCCAAACAGTTGTATTGCATTTTTAACAAACAAACAAACAAACAAAGTTTGCAAGCTTGGTAGTTGATTAAATGTCCTTTGACCAGTAGCTGGCTACTTGGAGTGCCTCTGGTGTTACTATAAGAAGGTCCTCCATTGTGCATGTGGCAGGGCTCAGGTTGCATTGCAGCAGTGGTCAGTGGTTTGCTCTTCTCCACACTCGCATGTCATGGATTCCACTTTGTAGCCCCATTTCTTAAGGTTGGCTCTGCATCTCGTGGTGCCAGAGCGCAGTCTGTTCAGCGCCTTCCAAGTCGCCCAGTCCTCTGTGTGCCCAGGGGGGAGTCTCTCATTGGGTATCAGCCATTGGTTGAGGTTCTGGGTTTGAGCCTGCCACTTTTGGACTCTCGCTTGCTGAGGTCTTAGAAAACTATTTCTAGATTTAAGTCGTTGATGTGCTGGCTGATACCCAAACAGAGGATGAGCTGGAGATGTCTCTGCCTTGGTCCTTTCACTATTGGCTGCTACTTCCCGGCGGATGTCAGGTGGTGTAATACCGGCTAGACAGTGTAATTTCTCCAGTGGTGTAGGGCGCAGACACCCCGTGATAATGCTGCATGTCTCATTAAGAGCCACATCCACTGTTTTAGTGTGGTGAGATGTGTTCCACACTGGCATGCATACTCAGCAGCAGAGTAGCAAAGCATAAGGACAGATGTCTTCACTGTGTCCGGTTGTGATCCCCAGGTTGTGCCAGTCAGCTGGCACAATAAATCAGATTAACACTAGCCCATGGACCACCACTTTGAATCCAAGGGTGTATCTACACTATCACATTAATGCAGTTTGACATCACTTTAACTGCCATGGCTTAATGCTGTGGAATCCTGGGAGTTGCAGTTGGTGAGGTACCATCACTTTTTGGCAGAGAACGCCAAACACTTGGGAAAACTACAATTCCCATGATTCCATAGCATTGAGCCATGACAGCTAAAGTGATGTCAAATGTGTGTGCAAAAGCCTCATAGATTATTGTGGGATAGGACCCCCCGGTGCGTTAAACTCTTTTGCTGGCAGGACTGAAGGTAGACAGGTTGGAGGTTCGAATCTGGGGAGAGCGTGGATGAGCTCCCTCTGTCAGCTCTGGCTCTCCATGCGAGGACATGAGAGAAGTCTCCCACAAGGAAACATCAAAGCATCTGAGCGTCCCCTGGGCAACATCCTTGCAGATGGCCAATTCTCTCTTACTTACTTACTTACTTAGGCGATCTCTCATTGTCTGAGTAAGATAATTCTCCAGGGTGGGTCCATAGGTGACTATGGAGCCCTATTCTTGATCTGTATCGTCTCCCATAGTGAGGGCATTGGTTTCCAGGTGGAAGGTGGTCCCGGTCGGGGTTGGCTTGACGTGCCTTCCTCTTGGCACGTTTTTCTTTTTAGCTCTCCATTCGTGCCTCTTCAAATTCTGCAGCACTGCTGGTCACAACAGACCTGGTCTCCGAGAATATAAAATGTGAAAGCACAGAGTCCTCAATGAGGAGGAATATATTTTTGATTCTGTTACTGCTCTAATTGTTCTTTTGAATGCTAAGAACAAGTAGAGAGTTCTTCCAAGCTGGTTTCTAGAACAAAATATCTAAACAGAGCTCTGATTAGACAACCTTCTGTGAATGAAAGCTTACTCAATATGCAAGGCAGGAGTGGGAAATATGTGGCTTCCAGATACTGATGAATCACAGCTCCCAGCATTGCCCTCCGTTTACTGTATTGGCCAGGACCAAGCTGTTGGGCGAGGGGGCTTATTAACAAAAGACCCTCCTTATGTACAGCAGAGAAATTTAGCAGCAAAGTGACCCAGCACCAATAGTCCAAAGTTATGAAAAGAACAAAAAACAAAGAGATCAATGTTATCTCTTTCATAGGAGGCTTTTCTTTATAGTAAGATAATACAGTTGCACTATTTACAAGAACTAGCTTTCCATAGCACAAATAAACAAATACATAGTAGCTTTACATGCAGAATCCTTGACACTGGAGGTGTCTCACATGAGGGTTTTCTCACACAGAGGTTTACCTCACACTCCTCAGGACGACACTAGCTTGGGTCCACTGATTCTAACAGGCTTCGGCCTACTAACTCTTTCAGTGCTTGACTCACTTTTGCAATAAAAATACCCAGTTCATTTTTATTTGCAATACCCAATTTATTTTTATGTGAAATGACTACCAGAATGACTTGGATTATGATTGTGGATAGTGTGGTTTTAAAGTGTTTGCAATGTTTTTAAAATGTTTTAATGTATTTTAATTTTTCAGTGTCTATTTAATTGCATATTGTTGTTAAGGCATTGAATTATTGCCTGTCTGTGAGCCCCCTTGAGTCCCTTTCGGGGTAGAGAAAGGTGGATTTAAATATAGTAAATAAATAAATACTTTAAACCATTTCTGACACAAGCAGTTTAAAAGAAAACAACACCTTTATGGTGTTTACAAATTATCAACATTGATGAATTATTGCCTATCTTGTATCTCATAGATCTCTATTACTTAATAGCAGTTAATTCCTACATATAGATTATTGGAACTGGTTCAGTAAAAAGTATAACTTTTTACGAACTCCAAGCTATCTGCCTTGTCACTTCAGGTTACATCAGTAGACCCTTAGAGCATTTGTGCCTTGCCCTTTGCCCACATATCTCAGTGTTGGAAGGTGAAGGGCATAGCAGAAAGTATATTTTTAGATAACAGCATGCGGCTATCCCTTTCCTTCTAAATCAAAATAAATTCTTGGAAAGTGTTTTGAAATCCTGATCTGTTGATCAACATAGTCAGTCTCTCTCAAAACACAGGAAGCTGTTTTGTATGGAATTGAAACACTAATTCTCCTAATGTGGCACATATTTCACTCCCCCCCCCCCACAATTGTAACATTAATACATAGTTGTAAAATCAATTTATCAATCTCTGCCTTGTTTTCATTAATTTTCTTTGAGCTAGTAGAAATTCCACATTGCATGTATGCAGTAACAGATTTTTGCTAGTATTTGGGTATCCAGCTTCCTTTTGATTAAATGCAGTTTTCTCGTGTGACAAGCTGTCAAGTAAAGGCCTATAGCTGAATGTACCATAGTTAAAGAAATAGCAGACAAGCAACTCAATGTAGTTGCAACGTGACTCCAAAACATGGGGCAAAATGGACACACAGCAAATAAGAAGCATAGGCAGGAGAGACTGAATGGCTTCTTTTGAACATGTCTGTGCTGGGTAGCTGTGCTTGTTTACTCACTTTATTACAACTGTCAAGAGACAT